CTGAACCCAGGGCCTTGCACATGCTAGGCGAGTGCTCTACCACTGAGCCACAACCGCACCCACAACTGTTGAGAGCCACAGCCGAAGGGGCCCCAGCAAACTTCCGGATGCCAGCAAACTTCCAGCTGCCGGCTGATGATTGGCTCACAGCGGCCCCAGCAACATCTAGCTGATTGGCTCCTCTGCGGTGATGCTCATTGGGCTGTTTCCCTGCCCTTTCAGACCACGGAGCTGCTCATTGGGGGACTTTTTTGGCTCCGCCCACGTGACCCAGCCAATCGGCCTCAAGAGCAGGAGGATTGTGGGAGGTGGAGAGAAGCTTGTGTGGGAGAGAGAGGCTTGTGGAAAGCCGGTGGTGGCAGTTGAGGCTCTGAGGATTTTTCCTGAGAGGCTGTTTTGTTTGGCGTGTGTGGTTCTAAAAATAAAGTTAGTTTCTTTTGACAAGTGGCTCCTGATTGTGCCCAGCCAGACTGCGGCACACAACCATTAATCTTAACAACCCATCTCAGGGGGGAGCATTCAGTCTTTCACCAGTAAGAATAATGTTAAGCCAGTAAGTTTTGGTAGATGTCCTTTATCAGTTTGAGACACTGAAAATTTCTATTCCTGGTTTGTTGAGTGTTTTTTGTCATGAAGGGGTGCTGTTACTTTCTTCCAAATGTTGTTAATATGTCTATTGAGAAATCATGTTGGTTTTGCCATTTATTCTTAGAGTATGGTGTATTACATTGATTGCTCTGTAAATATTAATGTGATGGTTTTAACACACTCATGTTTAAGTGTTAAACCATCATGTAGGTTTATAAGCTCAAGTGGTCCCATCTTAAGAAAATCTGATGGATGACAATCCCGACTAAAATAACTATGGGCTTGTTCTCTTAGGGTAACAAAGTTTTGTTTTGAATTTTTCTTTTTTTTTTTTCTCTTTCTCTTTCTCCCCAACCCCCCACCCCTGTACCAAGGATTGATTCTAGATACACTTTACCACTAAGCCACATCCCCAGCCCTTTTTCTTTCTTCCTCCTCCTCCTCCTCCTCCTCCTCTTCTTCTTCTAATTTTGAGACAGAGTTCTCACTAAGTTGCTGAGGCTGGCCTCAAACTTGCAATCCTCCTGCCTCAGCCTCCCAAGTCATTGTGATTACAGGTGTGTGCCACCAGGGTACAGAATTTTTCAGAAGGGAAATTGTGAGTAAAGGGGTTTAGGACATGCTACCACAGAATGTGTCATTTTCACATGTTTATTATGATGAACTAAAGGCCCTTGAGAAACAGATTCAGGAAAAGCTCTCTGACTTCCTCCTTTCCACCTGAATGCATCTCATGAAAGATTCTCTGAGAAAGGTTCCTTCCCTGTCTGAGAAGAGAAGAGCAGTCATTGCTAGACACTGCAGACTGACACCAAAATAGAACTGTACAAACAAACCAAAAATAACTCTTATCTTCCATTACTTTCCTCCAGATATTTTCTGGTCATTGTCCCACAATTTACTGCCCCTAGCCCAATCCCCTTTCTTTTGTTATATTGCTATAATGTTATCATTCTTTGTGTAAAAATGAATAAAAGCTTTTGTGCCTAACGACTTCTTCTGGTCTTCATCCACCTTCTGAAGACTCCTGTGTTAAGACATGTAAAAATATTAAATACATTTGTACCCTTTTCTACTGTTATTCTCTTATGTCAGTTTAGTTCTGAGGCTATCCACAGGGACCTAAGAGTGTAGAAGGAAGTATCTCCTCTCCTATAGCATAGAAAATATGATGTGAAAATAAGATGATCAGGATTTTTAGGAACTATCTGTTGGTGTCATTATCTGCAAGGTTGAGAAAATCTATAATACTCATGATGACCTGTTGTCCTGGGTGGCAGCCTAACTGGTCAAGATGGACTTACACAGTCTCCTGCCTCCTCTCACTGCCCAGAGTCACCAAAAGCAGAATGGGAAATGGATGACAGGCCTCTAAGGGGCAGGAATCCCCTCTCTTGGGCAGAAAAACACAATGAGTTTGAGTAGAGATAAATCATCTGTAGGAGCGCAATCTCTCCCCCACAACCCCTTCTGTCTTCTGGTGCTTTCTGCTCTGAGAGGAGACATTGCTGCAGCAAACCTTGCTCCAGATGGTGAAAGTCTGTCCAGCTACCACTTTGAGGACATCTAGTTTTGTATGTCCAGTATTTCCTTCTTTTGGGAAACCTCCTCCACCCCACCCCAGGTGATACTCACTGGGCTGCCAATCACAGAACCACAGGAATGTCTCAGTCCTGGGTCAAATAGATTTTCTTAAGACTTTGGAACCAGAAGTGGAGACACCCCAGGATGGAAGGCAGGAGGCACTGAGTCATTTCACGTGTTTCCCCTAGACCAGAGCTTCTCTTACTGTAATCCCCAGACCAGCAGCAACAGCATCTGCGAACTTGTTAGACATCCCAAACCCCAGGTTCCACCCACATCTACTGAATCAGAAACTCCAGGGCTAGTCCTCAACACTTTGTGGTTTAACAACGCTTCCGGGCGATTCTTTTGCACCCTGAGAAGTACCCTAGAGAAACAAGAAGTTTTTGCAGGTGGAATTCCCAGAGCTTGCCCGGAAGTTTTGTTTTTGTTTTTATTTTTGTTTGTTTTTCTAGTTTTTCTAGTTGCTTTATCTCTTTAGGCATTGGAGTGGTTCCGGGTCAGTGGAGGTAAGTGGATCTGCTACAGGTAGTCACTTAGAGATGCAGACAGGTTCCTTATCATGTTGCTTTGCTGTTTCCTTGGAAACATGCTTCCATCGATACATCCACACTCCATCTTGTCAGAAAAATGAAAAGAGGAAATAGATGGCGAATAATTTCTATTTAAGATGTAGACATGATGTTTATATCAATTTTATTCATTTTCTGAAGATGAGGACTTAGTTAGGTGGTCACATCCAACTAGCTGCAAGAGAGGCTGGGAAATGTGATTTTGAGCTTGGCAGCCATATACCCTGCTACATCTTGGGAAGAGTTTTTTTTTTTTTTTTTTTTTAATTGGCTAGAAGAAATAGGAAAACAATGGATAATACAGGATGAGAAATGATCTTTCCTACTTTCCAACCCTGAGCCACTACTGAAAGGTCAAATGTCTTCAGGGGCCTGGCAGGTGATGAGCCATCTAGGTATGGGACTAAAAGGAGTGAGGTGACCATGCCTATGTAAAGGGGGCAACAGCTAGTTGTCTACCTAACATCCCTTCCCCCTTTATCTTCACTTTGATGAAGAAAGCTACCATGCCCGCCTAATGGAGAGGCCTACATATGGCTAGGAACCCAGGGAGGCCTCTGGCCCACAGCACTTGAGGAACTGAGACCTTAATACAGCAGCCTGAGAGGAACTGAATCCTGTAACCATCACCATGTGAGCTAGGAAGCAGATCTTTTCCAGTCAGGCCTTAGGTTGACAAAGGTCACAGCAAAGTCACTCCTGGATACCTGATCCATAGAAACCGTGAATCAATGAACCTGTATTGTTTAAAACTACTGCATTTTGGAGGAATTTGTACACATCAATAAATAACTAACACAAGGGGCTGGGGATGTGGCTCAAGCGGTAGGGCGCTCGCCTGGCATGCGTACGCCCCGGGTTCGATCCTCAGCACCACATACAAACAAAGATGTTGTGTCCGCCGAAAACTAAAAAAAAAAAAAAAAAAAAATTAAAAAATTCTTAAAAAAAAATAACTAACACAAGTGGAATGGCACAGATAAGCAGAGTGTGTAACAGGTGCACACACGAAGGTGGGGCACAACGTCACTGTGGTGGGGAAGGTCACAAATGGTAGGATTCCTGGAAGGAGGGCAGGCTTGTGTGCATTTTGCAGACTAACTAGGCATGATTTAGGGGAAGATGGGAGAGAAGGAGTTTCTAGTCAGGGTTATAGAACAGGCAAACTGAAACCATTTCCCAAATCCATGTTACCAGCACATAGTGTGTGTGTGTGTGTGTGTGTGTATGGTGGGGCAGTTCTGGGGATGGAAACTATGAATATTAGACAGGTCCTGTCCCACTGACCTACGCCCCCAGCCCTCTGACCAGGCCACTTGTCACATTCCTGGTTAGAGGTAAATTTACTGGGAAGTCAGCAGAGCTTCAACTTCAGGATCCCTTACCTTCCCCAAACCCTTTTAAGCCTGAAAGACCCTAGCAATTTTGTGTTTATAATTTTTCATTCTTTGTCTTAAGAAGGGTCTCCCTGGGCTGGGGTTGTAGCTCAGTGGTAGAGCGCTTGCCTCGCATGCGTGAAGTACTGAGTTGGATCCTCAGCACTACATACAAATAAGTAAATAGATTTAAAAATAAAAAGCGTCCCCCATCTTCTGTTCCTGCTTCAGTGGATTTCCCAAGACCCTTCTGATGCTCTGCCATTTTCCCTCCCAATCTACAGCATACAGCATGTACTTACTAGGAATCTTTGATTCTGCCTCTTTTTTTTTTAGACCAGGTCTCGCTCTCACTAGGTTGTCCAGGTTGGCCTCAGACTCTCGGCTCAAGTGATCTTCCTGACTCAGCCCCTCAAACAGCTGGGACTACAGGTGTGGGCCACCAGGCTAAGCTGGCTCTACGTCCTTGAATATGGTTTCTCAGCAGCGCCTCTCCAGCCCTGTCCCCTCCAGCCTTTACTTCCTAAACCCAAACAATCTAGATTCTGTAATTTTCCTTAGAAGTCCTATTCTCTAACTCATGAATCATTTTTACTGCAATTTTTAAAGTCTTGGAGAATTTTTCCCTGAGGTGGTGGTGCCCAGGGTGAACATGGTTTTCTTTTGTTTTGCAGTACTGGGGATTGAACCCAGGGCCTGTGGGTGCAAACTCTCTGCCACTGAGCTGAGTCCCCAGATCTCTGATGTGTTTTTCTAAAGAGCAAGTCTGGCTTCTGACCAAGTGGCATTTGAGCAGGGCTGCTTTGGGCGTGTGTGTGGGTTGTGTCCCTGGGAATAGCCTTTCTGTGTCAGAATGACTAAGCTTTAGAGAAAGGAGGGAGTGACTACGGGGTGGAAAGTCAAGGGGACAACAGGGAAAACGGAGCCTTGCTATTTCCTTAGAAGTGAGGCATTTTATTTTCGGATGCTGTTGGCAGTATTTCAAGACAATGATGGGCTGCTGGAGGAAGGACACTAACATCATCCATGCCTATTCTGTGCCGGGCACGTGGGATTTCCAGCATTGTCCCACAGAATCCTCATCACACCCCTGCGAGTTAATGGTGAGACTCTCCACTTCACAGCTGAGGACATGGAGGTTCAGAGATGTGTAGTAGTATATCCTTGCCTCGCAGCCTGCAAGTTCCAGATCAGGCTCAGCTGACTCAAGAGCGCAGGCTCTAGCCCCACCCTGTGTCCCCCCAATCCTTTATCGGTTCTCTCAAGGGTCTACCACCTACGTTCAGATAAAAATTGGTGGGCTTTGCATCAAATGTCCACCTGAAATAAGTTTAATAATTGAAAAGTCAGGCTGGTCAAATTTTTGGTTCTGGGAAGTCTGTATAGTTGAAGAAGTACCCATCAGTGAGTGGGAGTCCTCCAGGGTTGAATTCAGATATATATCTACACCTATCTATAGATAGATATACACATATATTCAGAGACACATATCTATATATGGAGAGATTTAGGTGCGGTGTGTGTTTTTGTGTGTGTGTATATGAAGGGAAGAGAAGAAATACTGATAAGAGAAGACATGAAGTGTAGGCCTCAAACCAGAAAATTGAGACTGAGAGTCTGGATAGCTATAGCACAGGGATAACAATGAAAGTCCTAAGAATGACAAATCTGTCTATTGAGTGCTTACAAGGTGCCAGGCACTCTACCAGGTGTTTTCCAAAGATGAGTACATTTTATTCTCACAACCATCCTACTAAAAAGGCAGGACTATTGTATTAGTCCATTTTGTGTTGCTGCAACAAAACATCTGAGACTGGGTACTTTATAACTGAAGACGTTTATTTGGCTTATGATTTTGGGGGTGGATGGAAGATCCAAATTGCAGGGAGCCTGCATCCTGGCATGGCCACCTTGGCTGTGACAGACGACAAAGGAACAGAAAAGGAAATGGCTGTGTGCAGAAGAGGCTAAGCCTATGGGATGGCTTTGCTTTCTAACTCCCTAACTATCTTGAGACCTAACCCACTCTGCAAGAGATCAGTATTAATCCATTTAGGAGGGTGGAGCCCCGATGACCTAATTTCCTCTCACTAGCCACCTCTTTAAAGGCTCCAACACCTCAATGCAGTATTGAGCCTATGAACCTTTTATTTTTTTTTCCAGTTTTCCAGCACATGAACTTTTGAGGGGTAAATCACATCCAAATCTAAAGCATTTACCATCCCTATTTTTAGATTGAGTACCTTGTACATGAAGAATCTTACAGAGGAAATGGTGAAGGAGAGACTGGAACGAAGCTCTGTTCAACCCTAAGACTCCTTGCTTCATTTAACCATCAGGCTTTACTAAGTCAAGGTGAACGAGAGTGGGAGAAGCCTAGCACCTGGAGATGATGCTAACCTGGAGAAGCAGTACTTTGCAGGTGACATATCTTGGGAGGATGGGACACAGAGTGGCTACAGCTCACCCAGAACCAGTCCTTCAGGCAAGATCAGGTGCCTCAGGAGCCAGCAGTTGAGCGCTATGGGAGCTCTTGGGTCCAGAGTGGGTGGAGACAAGCAGACTTGGTCAATATCCATTGGCCTCTCTCGGATTGGTTCAGGAACCTCAGGGGGCGGGGCTTAAGCCTCAGGGAGCTGGAGCTGCTTGGTGCTGCTACCCCAGGGCTGGAGTCTCGAGCTGTGACTTCTGGGACTTTGGCTTAGTGATTTCACAACCTTGAGCCTCAGTTTTCTGGAAAGTGGAGATAATCTGAGTACATTCAAATATTAGTATAGTATATTATTAGATAATAATTAATTGTGTCGTTGGGAGGTTCGGTGAAGGGATGCACGTGAAGGGTTAACATGGGGCAGGGAAGGATGGGTGCTCCATAAATAGCAGCATATTTTTGAGAGATTACTACTCAGGGGAACCAGAGAATCTTTTTCTATTTTCTCTCCCATTTCCTACTTTGGGAGGAAAGTGGGAGTGTATTCAAGGGAGTAAATATAATTCCTGTCTCGCCTCGCGTTTGCGCACTCTGAATGCTTTTTATTGGTTTTATGGTTCACAACTCATTTCACAGTTGTAATTTGTCTCTTTCCTGGAAAATATTAAACTGTCATATAAAAGCAGTAGATTTCTCATGCTAGAAATTTTGTCTGTGCTGTGCATAATATTTTCAGAGTTCATTCATGTTGTAGCATGTATAAAATCTCATTTTCTGTACTGCTTTTTTTTTTTTCTTTTGTGGTAAGGAATTGAGCCCAAGACCTTATGCATGCTAAGCCTGCTCGCTACCATTAAGCTACAGCCCAGCCTTAATTTGTTACTGTTATACTTATTTTCTTATCACTTTTCTTCACTTGAAGGAATGTATTTAGATCTATTCCCAAGTTTAAGAGAATCTTTCCAGACTTTTATACTGGCCAACTTAATTATATTTAGATCAGTAAGGTAAGGTCACAAGAGCACAAGAGTTTAATTTGTCACCAAGTTGGAGTAAATACTGTAATAAACAGAGTTTACTACTTTCTTTCTGTTGTTTGTTTTGGGTACTGGGAGTTGAACCCAGAAATACTTTACCACTGAGTTTCATCCCCAGCCCTTTTAATTTTTATCTTGAGACAATGTATTGCTAAGTTGTTGAAGCTAGCCTTAAATTTGAGATCCTCCTGCCTCAGCCTCGCGAGTCCCTGGGATTACAGGCATGCTCCTCTACACCTAGCAGTTTACCATTCTAAATGAATAACCACTATTTTTTGTCACAAACATTAATTTAAAAATGTAATTTTTTTAAAAAAATGTAATTTCTTATAATAAAAATTATTAGCTTTCAAGTAAATACTACCTTTTAAAAAAAGTAATTTATATAATATCATTTTAAAAAGTAATTTATATTACAGAAAAGTTCTTTTTCTCTTTAATTAAGCAGACTATTCTTACAATGACATGATTCAGAACTCATTTAGATTTAGCTTAAATTTTATGATTCTTCTCATATAAAGATTCACTAACCTTCTTTCTTAATCTTTCTAAACAAAGGAGACAGATAATCCAGCGGTTGGCATTCTTTAATGCCCTTAGGTTAATAGTGTTTCACCTCAAGTTTCCTATTGAAAATCAGGACTTTAAGGTTTATTATAACTTTCCCCCATATCCCTAAACTCATGAAAGCACCAGACACCCTGGAACACACCTATAATCCAAGCTACTTGGGAGGCTGAAGCACAAGATTCAGGCCAGCCTTGGCAAGTTTTAGCCTGGGCAACTTAGCGTGACACTGTCTCAAAGTAAAAAATTTAAAGGAAGGTTAGGGGATGTAGCTAGGTGATAAAGCACCCAAGATCTGAGTTCAATCCCCTGTGCCAAAAAGAGAAAATAAATAAATAATGGAAATTTCATAGTTTTCATTCTTTTCTGATTGTGGAGGGTAACTGGGGATGGAATTCAGGGGTGCTCAACCACTGAGCCACATCCCCAGACCTATTTTGTATTTTATTTAGAGACATAAAATATGTCTACGAGGTGCTAAGCAACTCAGTGAAACCTTAGCGCCTTGCTTTTGCAGAGGCTGGCTTTGAACCCATGATCCTCCTGCCTCAGACTCCTGCCTCAGCCTCCGGAGCTGCTGGGGATTACAGACGTGAGCCACTGTGCTTGGCCCTTTTCTGATTTTTAATCACTTATATATTATATGTATCTGGCATAATTTGTGTGTGTGGAGGTGGTGCTGGGGATTGAACACAGGGCCTTACATATGCTAGGCAAGTGCTCCCCCCTATACTCTATCCCCAGCCCTATCTGGCACATTTCTAAGGTCTTTACATATATTAATCCTCATAGAACCTCCCTCTCTTTTTCTTTCAATAGTGCTACTTTAAAAAATTTCTACTTTACCCAGGAGAAAACTGAGGCACAGAGAGATTATTTGATCTAAGAGATTACTTGACCTGTCCACAGACTGAACATGTTTGTGTCTTTTTACAATATCAAACACAACTATCAAATGGGACACAACTATCAGGGGGAGAGCTGGGATTCAAACATGCACTCTGTCTCCAGAGTCTCGTTCTCAATCACTGTACATACTTTCTTTAGGAAAAGGAGAAGGTGGGAAGAGAGGGAGGAGGAGGAGGTGGGGAAAAAAAAAAAAAAAAAAAAAAAAAACCTTTCCAGGAGTGGGGAGGCAGTTGTGCATGCCTATAATCCCAGCAGCTCAGGAGGCTGAGGCAGAAGGATTGCAAGTTCAAAGACAGCCTCAGCAAAAGCGAGGCACTAAGCAACTCAGTGAGACCCTGTTTCTAGACAAAATTCAAAAAGGTCTGGGTGGGGCTGGGGTTGTGGCTCAGTGGCACAGCACTTGCCTAGCACATGTGAGGAACTGGGTTCGATCCTCAGCACCACATAAAAAATAAAATAAATAAAGATTAAAAAGTGGGGTACTGGGGATGTGGCTCAGTGGTCGAGTGCCCCTGAGTTCAGTCTCCAGTACCCCCCCCAAAAAAAAATACCAACCTTGGCAGTTACATATAATAATTAATTGTCTTAATTCTATCTACAAGAAATACCCATTGCTAACAGTGTTTGTTTTAAGTGATTACAGCACATAAAGGCACAGACAATGGCAATCTTGGGGGAAGGTGTAGCCATATTTAAAAGCAAATATTAATCCATTTTCTGGTGGGTAGAAGCCTCCAAGTGACCTCAGTTTGACCCAGCTCACACTCTGGAGTTGGACAGGGATAAGGGTGGGGATGGCTCAGCTTAGTTGTGGGCAGCTGACAAATGACCTCCACAGCAAGGGGTCATCTGAACAGAAAGGAAATCAAAAGTAGGAACAGGAGGCTATGTGTCGGACTAGCACTCAGTAGGGTAAAGGCAGGGTTAGTAACCAGGTAACAAGATGAGTCCAGCCAGAAAGAATAATTTAGCAGCCGCAAGGCGAGGGACTGGTCTGCAGGTCTAACATTGTTCATGAGAACAGACCACAGTTATGTTTGAGGCTGTGCCAAGACAGCTGTTATCGGACATCTGTGCAAGAAGATTCTGTCGCAAGTGTGTTAATCAAAATAGAAAGGCATCCTAGTAAAAGAGGGTTGGACACGGCAGCGGTATGACTGCGTGTGGAATGAAGCATCCAGAAATGGTCAAAGTGGGGGCCACTGCAGATAGTACAAGAATGAGTAAACACAGTGACCTTGGGCGGGAGTGCTCAAATGTTTTGACGTCAGCATCTCTTAAAACTCTTAAAAATTACTGAGGACCCCAAAGAGCTTTTGTTTATATGGGTTACATGTTGTAAACGAGCTATGCCATTAATATGGATTGGACAGATTTCTGTCTTTCCACAATGTCAGAATTTATTTAAAAACAAAAAATTTACAAGTTATAACACTTTCATCAGTAAGGACTTCATCATATAGTTTGGAAAGCACCTCCATGTTTTTGAAAGAATGAGTGAAAAAGGCAAATAATGGGCTAGTTTTTTTTTTTTCCTTTTGCAGTGCTGGGAATAAAACCCAAGACTTCACATATGCCAGGCAAGTGCTCTACCACTGAGCTACATCCCCAACCCCTGGGTTAGTATTATTTTTAAAGCAGTAAAGTAGGTTTATTTTTTATTTTATTTTATTTTGGTACTGGGAATGAACCCAGGGCTTTGCACATGGTAGGCAATTGTTCTACCACTGAGTTACAACCCCAGCCCTTTTAAAATTTTAAGACAGGGGCTTTCTAAATTGCTCAGGCTGACCTTGAACTTGTGATCCTCCTGCCTCAGTCTCCCAAGTAGCTGGGATTACAGGTGTGTACCATCAAGCCTGATTCATAAAGCAGTTTTGTTTTAATTTACTCCCTGATGGTATTTTGAAAACTCCAGGGGAAATCCAGATCATACTTTGAGAGCTACTGATGTAATTAAGAATGATAGCTTTTATTTGTATAGTACTATACAGCTTACAGTGCACCATAAATCAGGAAAAATGTTCTTAATCCCATTTCATAGCCAAACATTGCTAGGGAACAAGGAATGGACCCAGCCATCCTGACTTTGAAGGGACTGCTGCTGCAGCTAGTGCACTAGGATTGCTGCTTCCTAAGTGTCTAAGTAGTTTATGGCTATTAAGTCTTGTCCTCTGCTATAAAACACATTTTGTTCTTGGTTTTCTTATGGCCAGGGAGCTCAGCATGTCCACTCAGTCCTGGAAAGCTGTGGAGCTATTGTGTACTGTCTGGGAGGACAATCAAGAAAATCATATGCTTCCAGCAGCTCGGGAGGCTGAAGCAGAAGGTTTGAAGCCAGCACCAGTAACTTAGTGATGCCTTAAGCAACTTAGCAAGACCTGTCTCAAAATAAAAAACAAAGGGCTGGAGATGTGGTTCAGTAGTTAAGTGCCCCTGGGCTCAATCCCAGGTACCAAAAAAAAAAAAAAAATCAACTCGTGGAGTGTTGCGACCCCTCGCCGGCAAGGGAAAACACGACACAGGATTCTTCTTTCAGCAGTTTATTCAGGCCTTGATTCATGTATCATCTTCTAGCGCCCCCCCCCCCCCGCCGAGCGCCCAAGCACAGCCTAATAAAGCCTCCCGCATACCAATCCCAAGCTGCCACGTGGATCTCTCTCATAGGGTGGTAAGGGATTGCGTGCCAACTCTCCAAAAAAGGAGTTGTTTATCACAGGCCACAGTGGAAGCCGGCGCCATCTTCTAATGGCGGCCACGGTCTATAAGAATGGCTCACCACAGTTCCCCCTTCTATTTTATAAAACAATGCAGGCGAAAGTAGAGGTCCTATCCCACTGTGCAGAAGTGGCTGCAGTGTATGGTTCAGTCCTAAGGAGGGCCCTTCCCTAGACCTGGTCCCATATCAGCCGACGCCTTTTTTCGTAGGGCGGGGCGTGGACGTCAAACCCGCATGCAATAGGACATGCTTTCCTTGAGGTCCGTTGAGGGATCACTCAAGTGCAGTGCCTTGCCTCGCATCCTGCATCGTGACGACGGTGAGAAGTAGGATAACACAAGTAGCCTGGTAGTAATGACAAAATTTAAGTTGGCAACACCATCCCTAAACCCCAGAGGAAGGTAAAAGGTCTATAGCCGAGAAGAAAGACCAGTCCTGAAACCCATCTGCGTGCAATGGTAACAAGACCTGCAGAGTGCAAGGGCTATTCAGCACTGGGAGAGAATAAGGAAGAGGACATGCCAATCCCAGTGCAATGTGAAACTAACTTGGGGTGCAATGGCCATGCCCAGAAATCACTGTTTAAGATGTGCAAGCCAGATTTGTGGAGAAATGCCATTTTCTAAGGCCGCAAGAGCCTGTACAATCATAGCCTTCTCTTGCGCATGGCGAGTTTTAAGGCGACAGAGAAGCCACAAACAAAGCACAACACCGAAGCAACACATTGCCCCAAAAATGCCCACTCCCACCCATTCCTTAAAAAAGGAAAAGGCAGAGGATAGCCAACTGGTGAATTGACCCAAAGTCACTGGTTCGACACGGGTGCTATTCAGAACAGCAATATGAGTTAGTTGAGACTGGATCAAGTTTTCTGCTTCCATGGACCAGGTTCCGGATAGATACTCTCCGATGATGCGGGAGGCATTTCTGGAATCATTAAATCTGACAGAGGTTATACATAAATGTGCACGTTGATCAACACAACCTAAATGTACTAGAACAGACAACTCCTCAACTTGAGCTTGAAGCAGATCTATCCTTTGATTAGCAGCCAAAATCCCAGATAAAATGTGTTGATTAATTTTACTTTGAGATTCAAGTATGGTGGATGTTTGTTGAATAACCTGATTAATAGTGGCAGCAGTTTGTACTTGGCTGGCCATGGCTACTCCAGCTGTAACTGCTGCAGCAGCAGATACCGCCACAGCTGTCACCATAGCTGCCGTAATTCCAAAATCTCTACGGGCTCATTTTTGGATGTTCCCTTCTTGTTAGGACATTCTCGTTTAAAATGTCCTCCTTGACCGCACCCAAAACACTTTCCGACAACAGGGCTGGATTTATGTGATAATTGAAGGACAGCAGCAGCAAGGCCTGCATTAGTTAACGGCCCACCTATTTCTCTACAGACTTTCATCCAGGCCTCTATGCCTTTGTTTTTATAAGGAGTAATAGCTGCTTTACATTCTTTAGTACATTGTTCAAAGACAAGTTGTTTAATCAAGGGCATTGCTCTATCAGGGTCACCAAAGATTTTTCCTGCGGCATCCACCATCCTGGCAACAAAGTCTGAGAAAGGTTCTGTGGGGCCTTGTATAATTTTTGTCAAATTGCCAGACACTTCTCCTCTGTTTGGGAGTGATTTCCATGCACGGATGCAAATGTTATTAATCTGTTCATATACCTCAGGGGGGTATCCTGTTTGTTGATTAGCAAACCTGCCTTGTCCCAAAAGCATATCCTTATCCCAGGCAGGGCGTCCCGCTGCATGATTTTGGGCAGCTTGCTCTACTGCACCCTCTAGCATAAATGCTCTCCAATCCAAGTATTTCCCTGGGGAAACACAAGCGCAGACTAGACTAGCCCAATCTGAAGGAGTCATGCAAAATCTAGTAAGTCCCTCCACCTGAGTAAGGGTGAAAGCGGCATCTATGCCATAAGTGCGGACAGATTCTGCCAAGGTTTTAATTATCTTAAAGTCTAAAGGCTCATGATATCTTCCCCTGTTATTGTCCTGAAATACAGGGTATGCAAGTCCCATATCTGTATTAACTGTCCTCCAAACTTGTGCATGAAAAGATCTCCCGGAACCTTGGCTCCCCCCCACATACGGAGGTGGGGCAATCGGCACCATATCTTCTTCTAGATATTCTACCTCCTCCTCCTCAGAGTTTTGTTGACGGATGTTAACTCCCTTCCCCTTCTTACAGTAGGCCTGCGTGCCCTGTGTCTCCTTTTTCTTCTTTTTCATTTTTATCTTATGTAGTTGTTGTAACAATATATCAAGGTCCTCAGAACTCTCTGAGTCGCTTGTGTTCTCAGGCGTTTTTAATTCGGTCAAGTCTGGGTAGAGCCTTCTCCTATTTTTATCTTCAGGCTCTTTTGCCTTCTCACTACTGTTACTTTTAATACTCTCTGCCACTTCACTACATGATCCTTCAGATTTTTCCTCATGCAGTTGCTCAAGAATAGCTTGACCCTCACTCACAGCTACCTGGCATTTACCATCTGTTATACATCCTCTAACTAACTTCCAAAGTGGTATAACACCACCCTCTAAGGTGCCTTGCTCACGAGCGAAATCTAGATCTTTCCCTAATTTGTCCCAGCTAGGAATCGTAAGACTCCCTGAAAAAGCAAACCAAGGAGCCGCTCTATCAGCTTCTCTTAAAAACATCTGCAAAGTACTCTGCTTTATCTTAAGTCCTTTTGAATGTAACAACCCATCTAGGGCCAACAAAATTGGGCTTGAAGAGGTAGCGCCCATAATGTTTTTAGAGCTATAAAGAAAGTGAAAGTACAAAAATCCCCGCTCTCTTCCTTTTACAGGGGAGCGTCCCGCTATTAGCTTGCGGATTCCCACTTTACCTGGGAACTTACCGGTGCACCACCCTGACTACTGAAAGTTCTGGATCCTGGGTTCGAGGAATATAATTCCCCGTCCGGGCCACCAATTGTCGCGACCCCTCGCCGGCAAGGGAAAACACGACACAGGATTCTTCTTTCAGCAGTTTATTCAGGCCTTGATTCATGTATCATCTTCTAGTGACACCCCCCCCCCGCCGAGCGCCCAAGCACAGCCTAATAAAGCCTCCCGCATACCAATCCCAAGCTGCCACGTGGATCTCTCTCATAGGGTGGTAAGGGATTGCGTGCCAACTCTCCAAAAAAGGAGTTGTTTATCACAGGCCACAGTGGAAGCCGGCGCCATCTTCTAATGGCGGCCACGGTCTATAAGAATGGCTCACCACAGTGGAGGAGGACTAGAAACTGACATCCTGCTATAGAAAACCCCATGTCTCTACTGATGATCATAAAGGCCAACAGAAATAGGCAACAGAGAGGAAAATGCCTCTTCCTTAACTCTACCTTGAAAATCTTACCCAAGAGCATCTAATTGACAATATCTAGTTTGTATCTGGAGCCTGCGGAAAAAAAATGTTTGAACCCAGGGCTTTGCATAAAGCAAAGAAAATATTTTGTGGTGATGGAAGAAGACTACATATTCCTTTTTTGAGATGGGGTCACACTATGTTGCCAGGCTGGTCCCTAATTCCTGGGCTCAAGCAATCCTCCTGCTTCAGCTTCCCAAGTAGCTGGGACCACATAGACACATGCCACCACACCCAGATAGAAATTTCATTTCAAAAAAAAAAAGAAAAGAAATGTGAGCACTTCCTCTACAGTTTAGGAAAGGCTCCATAGAATGAAATGAAAAAGGATGATGAGCTTCAGTTGAGCTTTAGCTGCATATATTCAACACCATGTTCTGTCTGTGGATTGATAAGAATGTGAACTCCATGAGGGTTTGTTTGATTTATTTTTTACTCTGTCTTCAGAGCTTAAATTATTACAAAGTAGTTGGTAAAAAAGCAGGGAGATTCAGACCAAAATGAATGTTTTCTCAGAAACTCTTTTGGTGAACATCAGAAAGATTTCAGAAACGGCAATAAATCTGTGTTATTCTGACAACAGCCCTAGGGAGAAAAAAAGAATCAGAGAAAGGGGGCAAAGGAAATATTTTGTGGTGATGGAAGAAGACTACATATTCCTTGACATCCCACCCAACACAGATGGCGTATATGTTACCTCCCTTGAGTTTAGGTGAGCTCTATGATTGCTTTAACTAATAGACTGGGATGGAAGTGATGCTATGCCATTTTCCAGGACAGATTTAAAAGAATGACAGTGTTTGCAACTTGTCTCTTTGGAGACATCATCAGCTGTCCTGTAAGACATTCAACTTTCTTGATGAAGAGACCACATGGCGAGGCTCTGAGACCACATGGCGAGATGAGCCTTTCAGTCCTTCCCTTTAAGTGCCAGTGTCATAAGTAAGAGACATAGTTGGACCCTCCAGACTAGCCTACTAGACTGCCAGCTAGAACACTCATTACTGACTCTTCTTGATATTGTATGGAACAGAGGAATCACTTGGTTGAGCACTGACTAAATTCCTGACTCAAAATATGTGAGATATAAGACAGTGGTTGGGCTAGGAGTGTAGCTTAGTGGTAGTGGGCTTGCTTGGCATATGCAAAGTCCTAGGTTCCATCCCCAGAACCACATAACAAAACCCAAACAAACAAAGGAAATAATAGAGTGGTGTGCAGTTTCAAGTCACTGAATTTTAAGATAGTTTATTAAGTAATGGTAACCTAAATATACTCCCAAGTATGGTC